CGGCACCATCCTAGCTCCAGACCGTTTTCTCGCACATGAACTGTTCTTAACGAACCCACCATTCGATTGCTCTGACCTAACTCTTCTTCTTGAATTCCCCTTTGTCTTTTTCTAATACATTGAATACTCCCGCAGCAAAGAAAATTTTTCAGAGAAACAAATCAGATCATGTCCATCCCCACCGCTGTTCCTGCTGAAGCACCCGCTTTCCTGGCTTTCCAACACTCTCAGAGATAAGACTGCACTTTGAATACAGCCCACCGGCCCACGGTGGCTCCTCTGTCTCCAGGCTCAGCCCCCACCCCAGCTCCTCCTGCCCTGTGCTCCAGCGAAACCCATCTCCTGTGGTCATGTCCAGCGTCTCCTACTGCAGTTACCCCGACTGAACACTTTCTCCCAAACCTCCCAAAGTCATTGAAGGACACTTCAGTGACTGCAATATGGAAAACAGGACACAATATTTGAAACTGGGATATTTTGGGAAAATCCTGAACCTACAATCACCAGGACAACAGCTCAAATGACACACATAGATGTATTCTGAATACCACAGAGTGAGACAAAATAGTAAAATATCCCCCTAATTTGCTTTCTCCTGTTGATCTTCTTTTCTTCAGAAAACTTTTTCGCTTTCCTAATACTTTTTCTCTTTACTATAAAGAGGACATGTTTCCCAGGAGAAAAGGTCTGAGCCTTGGAATCATTTTACTTTGGCACAATACTCTGTGATCCCAATTTTGTCCTAGAGCACAAAAGTCGAGTTACTAGACCTCTCTGGATGCCAAATTGCATGCATCTGAATTAGAGTAAGCATTCCCTACAATGCTGTGTTGTTGTGCTTATTAAATGAGATAAAGATTTATGAACACACCCAGCTTTGCTCCCTGAGTCATTCAGTCAATATGTATTTCTTGTGCTAAATAGACCAGGGTCTTGGGATGCACTGGTAAGCGTAGAGTAGATTCTGCTTCATGGAAACTTAACATTTAAAACAACTCTCAGAAAGAAAGAAAAGCATTCAACTCAGTTTTGTGCACCTTCTGGCTAATGAAACCCCACATGGTTGCCCAGATATCCTTCCTGACTCTAACCCCAACTCCCTATCTGAGTTCGTGATCTCTCTTGAGGCACACTCTGCTTCTCTGGCATTTTAGCTCCCGAGAGACACTCTCGCTGGTTAACTTACCCACTTCTACCTTGGCACATCCTGGCCCCCTTAAGCTATAGCTCTTTATCCATAGTCGTCCTCACCCTAAAGACTAACAGTGATCAGCAGCTATAGTGGTCAGCAAAATGCATGTGGCTGTATAAAGATGTGTAAGCAAGAAAAAGGCAGAACAGTCCAGATTCAAATGTTATGAAGCATCTACGAAAACATGATTACCTACTAAGGAGCTTATTTTCTAGTACTTTGACAATGTCTGTGCTAGGATCTGGGGAATTCACATAAACTTTGTCACTGTACTGCCTCCCAGAGTCAGTTTATGAATATTCCCGACAGCTTAGGTGTTCTTTCCAAAATACTAACACCATCGGCATGATGAATGGTTAAAACAAAAAAGCCCCATCACACACATTTGACAGCCCCTGCTGTTGAACTAATTGTGGGGACTAGGCCTTTGGAAAGAAAATAATTGGTTTTTGCTCCTTGACCAGGAGCCTGGGAGCTGAGCTCTGTGTTTATGTGCATATATCCTGTTTGGAAGAAGAAAGAAGAATCTCAGAACACTATTGGGATAAGACACAATTTGATATTTCTTTCAAGACAGGCACAACTCTAAGAGTTAACAGAGTTCAGCGATCTTCTCCAAAACGTGTTCTTTGGAACACGAGCCTACAATGGTGGATAAAGTGTAATACTTTGTCAAAGCTAGACGTAAGCCATCTACATCACCAACCTGCAAATGTTGTTGACCGAGTCTTCTGGACAATGGTGGTGGCACTTACAACGCAAGATCTTCGGGCGAGGGGTGGGGGCTGTGCTCTCACCATCCTCTTTCTTGGTGCCCACGTTTGATTTTCCTGAACTTCGCAAAAGCATGTTATCAAGAAAGTTTGCTGAAAAGAAGAAAGGGTGAGAGGTAAGCATCTGTGGGATAGCCTGACGCAGTCTTCTGACCAAAGGACAACAGGAGATTAAATAAAAAATGAAGTATTCATGATACTTAAAGATTGAAACAGAAAACAGATATTTTGATGTTTTTGATAAAAATTACACCTGCTACATAGTATAGGCCTCAAATAAAGAAATTCCCATAAGCCGTTAAGGATGGTATTTGATATTTGTAAATTATAATAGCTGTATTTAACTATTATATAGATTATTTCTACTCTGTATGGTGATACTAGGGGTAGACATTGTTATTGCCATTTTTTAGGTACGAAAATCGAGACTCAAAGTTTCAGTGATCTCTACAGTCAATAAATTATGGAGCCAGCATTTAAACCCAGATTGTTTGAGCTTTAAGATTGTCTTTCTACCACATCATAGGGCCCCCTTACTTTA